ACTTATTCGTGAAGTCATGAGCAATATTGTCCTAATCTGTTTGTATAGTTTTTTTAAGTGAGCTTGATTTCGTACCTCATATTTTCGAATATATCGTTCCAAAACTGACCACATATTCTCAATGACATTCAAATCTGTATACCGCACTAGGGTTTGTACTATGTGCGGACAGTTCGAAATAAGCCAACTTGGCACAACGCCTTATTTGTGTTTCGGATCATTATCTTGACAAAAAAAAATTTTTTTTTTAAATATCCCAATACATAGTCTTATTCATCGTACTATTGATGAAATCCAATTTTTCAACTCCAGAAGACGACATGCATCCCCTTACCATTGCATGCCCTCCACCATCTTTTACAGTGCTAAGTAAATTTTGCGGTTGTAGCGCAGCATTTGGTTTTCTCCATACATAGCTCATTCATTACATGGAAACTAATCTAAAAAGGTAGAATTTACTTTCGTCCGCAAAAATTACGGTGTGCCAGAAACTTTAATCTTTATATAAATGGTCCTCTGCAAACTTCAGCCTTTCGCTTTAACTTGTATCAGCTTCTCTGAGGATTATATGTACGTATGGTTTCTGGGTTACAGCTTTTTCCAAGATATTTTCGCACTTCTATACCTAAAGTTGGGGCACTTAAGTGGAGGTTTTCGCGTGTTTTCCGTACAATCCATCGAGAATCACTTTCGTTAAATATTTTATTACAAGCCGTTTTAGTTTTTTTTAACACACGACTTTCATGAACATTTTCCTTGGCACAAATTCACCGTTTCCACAATTTTATGCTGACTTTAGTCATCTTTATAAAGGAAATGAACAATTTTTTTTTTTTTTTTTTTTTTTGAGAAATGATGAGGAAGTTTTTATTCGTATATTTAGTCTTTCCAAAGTTAGTGCAAAATACGTTTTTAGAACAAAATAGAAAGTAAAATTAGAAGCCGAAATAAAAGGTTTGTAAAAATAATGTGCTTAGAGTAAATAAATAATGTTGATAATTTACTTGATTTTGCAGGAATTCAGCAAGAATTTATGTATCGGGAAGTTTTTTTAATTGTGCTCCGGTGATGAGCGGAATAAAGGGGGGACTGTCAGTCGGGTGAAAAATAACATCAATTGATATCGCGGATTTGTGTAATCATTCCTCAGAATACCGAAATAAGCAGACAAATTGAGAGCACAATGCGCTCATTTCTCCGAATAGCGAAGTTACCAAAGGTTTTGGGGTGTTTAGATTGCACTCTTGTCAATATCGAATCACCTGGAGAAGAAAATGCCGAAAGTTATCGAAACAGAAAAGGGTACTTTTAAAATGGAAGTAATGGACTTTGTATGCAGATGACCTGGTCTGGATGAGGTAGAAGTTCAAGCGAATGAACCAGCAGAAACATCCATTCATGCCGAAGAAAACATAGCTGGGGTGCAAGGAACCGATTTATGTACTTACAGTGGCTCACAGCCAAAGTGATGCTGCTGTATAGTATGAGTTTTATTTCAAAATTAAATAAACTTTCCAAAAAAACATGAATGCCAGTTAAGCCTTAACAATTTTATATTTTATATTTATTTTATCTAATTTACAGCAAAAACAAACTTTAATGCAGAAGTTGTATTTCACAGCGAAAATGATTCACAAAGATTTACAGATTTACGATTTGTGAATGCAAAATATATACCGCCATAATCGCGAGCAAACTTGGTGTAATATGAGATAATTCTGACATTATAGTATTTACATTGGTTGAGCGTAGTTCATAATGTAATGTAATGGTAACGGGATGCATGTCGTCGTTATGTAGTTGGAAATTTGATTTCATCAATAGTACCATGAATGAGACTGTTTATTTGGATATTTCAAAATGAACATTGTTGCAAAGTGCCTCAAAATTAAATACTCGTGACAGGTTTCGGTACTATCAAGATAATTATCCGAAACACAAATCAGGCGTTGGGCAAAGTTGGCTTATTTGGAGCTGTCCGCACATAGTACAGACCCCAGTTGAATGTGATTGAGAATCTGTGGTCAGTTTTGGAACGAGAGATTCGAAGATGAGATTCGAAATCAAGCCGACTTAAAAAAAAGCCCTACAAACAGAATGGAATAATATTGCTAAGGCCAACGCGAACAAGTTAGTGGAATCCATGCCTAAACGTATGAAAGCAGTCATTGACAGCAAGGGGTATCATACTAAAAATTAATTTACAAACAATTTTAGTTGTTTTAAAAAAAAAAAATGAGATATATTAATTTTTTTTTTGTTACTGCATCATTTTCGCCGTGAGGTAGAATTTAATAGTGAAGTTCGTTTTTGTTGTAAACTACATAAAATATATATAAATAATTATTTTAAATCATAAATGAAATGTATATATCTGCCGATACTATCTGGCATTCATGCTTTTTGGAAAATTTATTAAATTTTTATATAAATTTCATTATGCTATTTATTACATAGCTGCATCATTTGACTGTGAGACACTGTATATTACATACTATTTGTACTTGCAATTCAAAACCATCAAAGTTCTTTTTCTCAAATAAAAATATATAAAATAAATTTCATTAAATTAAAATTTTATTCCATGTAACAAAGTAATGTAACCAAATACCAGCATTGATGCAGTTTTGACGTATTCTCATCGCAATTTTTTGTAAATTTACCTTAAAATATTTACAATTATTAAACTAACCAGAAGTAAAAGTCAAGTCACATCAGTCTATCTGACGGTTAGTTATCCTCCGGTTAAAGGTTAAGTTAATCGAACATTGGAAAGCGGGCCTTACAAATTCATTTCATTCTACGGCTCTTAAAGAAGGCAGGGTTCATAGCTGATGAGCTAAAATTAGCAGCCTTATTGAGAAAAATTAAGACATCCCATATCATCAAAACATCAGTCATTTTCATACTCACAGCCGCAAACAGTCTCCAATCCCGACGAGCACTCGTGCTCCTCAAAACAAGCACACATAGTGATTGCATTCTAAAAACGAAATCAAGGCTCTTCTTCCAACCACCATGAACATGAAGGAGAATTATTTCAATAATGGGCCTTCGTTCACAGCGACCTTAAATTTTCTCAAGAGTCCAGAAAAAATGTAAACTACCGTTCTACTACCGTTCTTTGCTGTTGTTATTTTAGCGCTTCACGAGTTCCGCTTAGAGACAGGTTTAATCGATCGAAGTCGCCGAGGTCGTCTAATGGGAGGTCCACGAATGGCCTAGGTGGAGGTACATCTTCTATTAGGTGCCGGCTTACACAGCAAAACATTATACTCCTTAACTCGTAGCATAGATGCTTCGCTGCGCAAGTGATGCTCCGGAGGTTTCCTGTCCGCCCAGATCGGTGCAGCACAGTTTACGACCTTCGTCAAGCTGGTGTCCGGACTAACCGAGGTTTTACTTGGCTATATTTTCAGTTGTCGTGCAGTGATGCAGTGAGAAAAATCGCCAAGGCGCAAGGCGCTATCAACGAATGATATTTCCACCCGTTCATCGCGTGTCGTCAGGTTAACAGCGACTTGACTGTAGCCCAGAGCTTGGTAGCCCCAGAGGAAAGGCTGCAAGTCCTTAAGTGCTCCTCCCACTTTATACGCTTGGTGTTGTTAACTACTCTGCGAATCTCCGCGTTTTAATCCCTGATTAGGGGATTCCAGGGATCGGAGTTTCGAAGTGTATCGCGGATAGATAATAATACCGTCGATTCTGTCGGAAAGTTTGGAAGGATTTTTGAAATTCGGCCTGCCCGGATGAAGCGAGCGGCAATGGTCACGACGATCCCCTGCGGGTTAGGGGCTCAAGAATTTACCCGCGGTAAGAGGCGACTAAAATCCAATAGTTCCCGCGACAGTCGGGTCTTTATACCGGAACGACCCGGATTTTTATCATCAAATACACCAAGGACTGTCACTCCCGCAACATTCCCCAAAAAGTACTTTGGGGAATAATTTTGCGGTTACAACAACAACAACGACCCTGCATAATGAACGTTCACCAGTAGGGACGTCTGATGGGGTATGGAGAGCACTAAAAGCGTTCTCGGTAAATTCCGTGAAGCCAGATCGCTTAGCTTTTTTAAAATTGACAAATGTCCGATGATCCGCGGAAACAAAGTCAGGAGGCCTTTCAGTCGAGATTTGTTTTGGGTAAGTGGTCCGATGATAGTGTCAGACCTGTACTGTACGTGAGACCATAGAGGTCTGTTTATGATGCTTTGCTTATCATAAATTCTTAACAACAACGGCCGAGGTCGGTGGGCAAGTTTTGTGGACTAATTATTATTTTTAATTACATTATTTTTTTTAATATTATTTTTTTTTTATTAAATTTTTTTTAATTATATATGTATAATTTTTTAACTATATTATTTTTTTAATTTTTTTAACTTTATTTTTTTAGTTATATTTTTTTTAGTTATATTTTTTTTTATTTTTGTTTTTATTTATTTATTTTTTTAGTTATATTATTTTTTAATTATATTATTATTTTTTAATTATATTATTTTTTAGGTATATTATTTTTTATGTATTATATTTTAGCTATTTCACCGAAAAGCAACATTTGCACGAAGAGTTTAAAAATGTAAGAGCTTGCAATTTATTGTTGCTTTAATTTATAGAATGCGGGGTTGCATTGTAATGTTGCGGCTTCGCAAAGTATGGTCCCTTATTGGTTGTAAAACCCATTGTCCAAGATATGCATTTCTATTTGTAAATTTTAACCGATAAACCATTTTCTGCAATTCACGAAATCGACACAAACTATTTCGAAAATCCTAATGTTGCAAAATTCTGATTTTCCCAAATTTTAATAAAATATATCATCAAATACACCTTTCTACTTAAGCCGTGCAACTCATGAACGTATTGCCATTAATAGCATTTTTTAAAATTTCGCCATTGATGGTCAAATATGATCCGGCTATGATTCTGTGATGTGTTTGTAAGTACATACTAATTATTAAGCCTGATCATTTACTTATCGAATTATATAAATTAAAGTATGTTGCCCAAAATTAAAAAGGATTTTATTAGTATTGCAGAAATTTTCTGATGCAATAATATTTTATAATACAATAAAAGTATTATATTAGCGTTTGCGATGCATTTGTAAAGTATTCTTCCGCTTCCAGGCGGCACGACGAGATCCACCAATGGTTTGTGAATAACGATAGCCTTTACCGATTCCACGGGAGCTCTTTCCAGCTGAAGTCAGTCCTCGAAGCTCACGATGTTTGTGGACATGCTTACAGAGCCAATTTATTTTGGGATCCCGCCTAATGGCGTTATGGTGTATATCTACCAAGATGACTTCAAAATACTTATAAGATGCATCCTGTGCAACCCAATATGAGTTCAAAACCCGTAAACCTCCCAGTCTGCGACCCACACGTTCCTAAAAAGAACAAGTTATATATGAAAATAGTGACATGATATATATATATATACATAAAAAAATATAGTAATAAAATTCAGACATCTAAGGAAGTTAAGTAAATCATCATTACTTATTTATGACTAATTTTTATCATCATTAAATATGAACACTAACTTTCTGCATTTCTTTATAATAAACCATCTGCTGGAAGTAGGGCAAAAATAAAATTTTGAATAAAGTTCATAATGCATTTAAACTTACTTTTAACACCAAATTAAAGTCAATGATTAGAAAAATTTGATGTAAAAAATCGAACAATCTGCCTTATTACAATTGGGTTTCATCGACGTCGTCGCGATTTGTCAATCAACATTACGTAGAAGTAAAAGATCTAATTGCGAAATGTACGACGTCGGAGTTCATCTATAAAAAAAAAAAAATTTATTTCAGCATCAGCATTCTTCTTTGAATGTGATTACTTTTCCATTAAAAAGCACACTATATTTATCAACCTCAAAAAAAAGAGACTAAATAAAAAGAAAAGGTTTGGAGGCTTCGGGAGGGTGCGCCAGGCTTTGAAATAAAACTTCCTTTTGAGAAGGTTAGAGGAGGACTTATAGTTTTTTATTAATTCTATTTTAAATTCAAAACTACGACTACATTGGAGCTCCCGGACTACTAAGTAAAATAATACTTAAGTAGTCTGTTTGTTTGTATTTTGGTTAGGCAGGCGTAGCCACTCAATCAAAAGGTTTACAAATTAAAGATAAATATACAGAAAAATATAATTAAAAAATTTGAAGTCTTTTGTAAATTGGCGGCCTTTGGCTGCGCTTTGGATTGTAACCCTAGGCCGGACCCTTACCGGCTTCGGCTTGCACACTGTTTTTAAATAAAATGCCTTTATGAAAAATACTGCTTAATTTATATGTAATTTTACATGGTATGGTACCTTCCATATTTTTTGTCGAATATTGTAGAATTTAGATATTTCACCCTGTACAGCAACACCATACAGATTATTATGCAGCCATGTTTAAGTAAACATTTGTTTTGATTATAATAAAATTTCTTAATGTTAATTTAAGTTACATTTCGCGTTAATTTATAGAAAATAAGTGAAAATATTTAATAAAATCAAAGTAATATTTGGGTTACTTAAACGAAAATAAAAAAATAGTGAACATTTCATAAAGAAATGATGGGATAAAATTAACAAATAACTAATAAACTATAATATATTTAAATTACAAAAGTTAAAATATGAAAAAAATACATTTTTATCATCATTTCTACGAAGTTTCATGTCGGAATTCCTGGTTGTTTGACTACAATATCAAGTGGGGGCTGCAAACCAAAGCTCAGCCTAAAACTATTGCAAAATTAAGCTTTTTCCGAACTTTTAATGAAAAGATAATCATCAAATACACCTCTTCAGCCAAAACTCCATAATTTTTGTACAGTTTTAGTATCAGCCGCTCTCCCGTTTATTTACCGTTCAAAAAGCATCAAGACGCAAAACTAAAATTTGGAGGAGCTCAGACGAATATCGCTTTAACGGTTACAAAGTGCCCATCATATTTTTATATATATATAATTTCCTAGATATTCCAAAAATATTAACCAAAAATTTAAATTGTTGACTTAAATATTAAAAATTTTGAACTACAACTTTGCGTAGAAAAGCTTATTTTTTAGAAAACTGTAAGTCTCCCCATATACACCCAAAAACCTTTCCAAAAAAAACTTATTTCATCCATCCATGGCCAAAAACTACCTTTGGCATTAGTTTTGAGGTTAAAAAAAAAAAAAGAAACTACATCTAGTCGGCGTAAGCAAATCGTCAACTCGTGACTACATATCCCTCTTCGTCAGATGGTTTGGATATATGAAAAATGTTGACTTCTAGATAGTTAGTAGAATGTAGTATATGAAAACGTTTAAAGCCATTTATATAATATATATATATAGCTATTGAACCACGTTTTCTTATACATAAATATTTACATATATGGACTACTTACCTCAGCAATAGACTGAAGTCCTCTATATGGTTTCAGTTCATTTACACCATGACTTTTGGGTTTTCCATAGGTACAGCCTTTTGGAACCGGACGTTTCCGACCTCCACGTCGGACTCGAATTCTGTACACAACATATCCTTGTTTTGCGCGATAACCCAACCTTCGAGCTTTATCTGGACGAGTAGGACGTGGCGATCTATGAAGCTTTGTTAGTTGTCTATACTGCCACACACGAATACGAAGCAAATAGCGCATTACATCACTCTGCTTCTTTCTGTACAATTCCTGCATATAGCGGTAGGCACCCATCTTTCTCAAACAGACCTAGTAACAAACCACATTATTAATAAAGTCACATCATCGGTCTATTCGAGCTTTTCAAAACCGTGTATATTTTCAATATACATTACAAATTTCAGCAGAACTATAATCATCACTAATTATTAATCAGAGTGGTGCATAGCAAAATATCATCACATTTGTAAAACAGTCTATTGATTATCACGATAAAACCAAATAAACAAAAATTTACTTAATACTAACCTCTGCACGTCTGTTTCACAAAAAGAGTAAATTCTAAAAGACCGGAATGTAGATAAGTTAGCCGCAAATGCTTTCAGTAGGTGTTGCCAGCCCCAAAAAAAAATTAATTTAATGGATATTTCTAAGCATGTACAACTTAATAGGGGCCATACACCGCACGAAATTGTCGTTCAAATACCTGCCTATAATTTCGTATTGAGATATTAAGATCAAATATTATAAAAAATCTTCTAAGCATGTTCGTTTTAACAACTAAATTTCCTACACACGAAATATTTTATCATTAAAATCAGGAATATATGGCGAGCCAGACCCACTTCTAAGTATCGTTCTACCTTCACGGTCTGTATTTTGCATTTATTTCCTAAGCCCCACTGCTAAATTAGTAGCTCTTATCTTATCTTATCTTATCTTCTCAAGAAAAATGTTAATTTTTCTCTTGCAAAAAATATTAGCAATAAAGTGATTTTGACGTTAAATAGTGCACCCGATTCAGTAAAAGAAGAAAAGACTGGAAAGAGTTAACAAATGAAAAAAAATATCTTCAAACGTAAGCGATTTTTAAGTTTGCCTTTCTTTTTTCTTAAGTTAATTCAAGGTTAGCACTGCGTACTGTCATTCGGAAGGCTCGGCTCAAATCCCCGAGCGACCAACGTGCAAGAGTTATAGAAAATTTGATTAAATAAAAAAATAAAAATAAGCATGAAATAAATCTCCTCATAAAAACAACCATCAGCCGTCCGAAGGGATATACAATTAGCTTAAAGGTCCTTATTGTTGTGTTATATTGTTTCGAATTCTCTTAGTTCCCATGTTCTGCGTCTTCCTTCGAACAGGGAACCGGTGAATATAGGTGGACTATAAGTTTGCCGACATTTACTAATCAGGAAGCAAGTAGTTGCTGGCGTCCCATACACATTTCAAACGAAAAACTTTCTTACGATTTCATACCGATTGAAAACACTGGTATGTCGTGCACAGCCACCTTATTATATTCTTAAAGTTCATAATATCGCAAAAACATTTTAAAAAGTTGTTAAAGTTGTGCTCTCACAACATATGTGATCTAGTAACAATTTTTAAGAATTGTTAACGTTTGTCAATGACCGCCAATTCAGCATCCACAATTAATATCTTATTACAACATAAACCGCTTGTCACCGCTTGCCGATGTCATTACTAACGGTTGTCCCGTAAAATTCATGGGTGATTTGATTTTCTTCATATAACCGGTGAGTCACGAGACACCCGCTGTTATGCATATTGTCAGCATTTCTTAAACGAGTATTAAATAAACTAAGAAAATGCGAACTTTTTTCAAAGGAAATAAGAACTGAAATCTTGATTAATTATTTATTACCATATAATATATCGCTTCGTAGCCGCTAGAGCGATTTTCGTTCGATATCCTCCTCGAATTTGTGGTTTTACGTCTTGACGTTTTTCCAACAAATGGAGGGACCTACAGTTTATAATAGGCCGCCTCCGAACAGCTGATGTTTTTTTATGAGGACCTATTGATTTTCATGTCATAAATACACTGGGAAAGGTTGAAATTCCCTGGCGCGGGGCGACCGCAGTTAGAAAATATTCCTTAATTTTTTATTTTAAATTAATTTTCTATAACTTTTTTGATGTTAGTACGGCACCAGGATTTACACTAAGATAAGTGAATTGCATCAAACATTTCTACAAGTATCTTTAAGGCAACATTTCTGAGTAAGGATGGACAATTACAGCGCTGAAAAGGCTACTAAAATAAAGGACAGCTCACTCGTTCGATGGAAATACTAAAAAGTTACGACTTCGCGGTAATGCTGAGGCCATCTCCCGTCGATCAGCTTACTTGAAATGTTAACACTGCTTACAGTAATGGCATTTACATCAGTGAAAAGAAAGATGTCGAGTGCTCCCGCAATTTAATAATAGTTCCGAAGGAAATTGACAATTCCGGACGTTCTCAATGATCCCAGTGGAAGGCACCTGAGGAGTACGAACACCTTAGAGACGATCAAGCAGACATTCTATTGTGGAATGTGATGTGGAATGGATTACAAACTGCAATCAGTATATCCGTATATACAGAATATGAAGCAAATACCTCCATGTGGCAAATGGCTACACGCCTCCTACGCCAGCGCTGAAAAGGCTACTAAAATAAAGGACAGCTCACTCGTTCGATGGAAATACTAAAAAGTTACGACTTCGCGGTAATGCTGAGGCCATCTCCCGTCGATCAGCTTACTTGAAATGTTAACACTGCTTACAGTAATGGCATTTACATCAGTGAAAAGAAAGATGTCGAGTGCTCCCGCAATTTAATAATAGTTCCGAAGGAAATTGACAATTCCGGACGTTCTCAATGATCCCAGTGGAAGGCACCTGAGGAGTACGAACACCTTAGAGACGATCAAGCAGACGTTCTATTGTGGAATGTGATGTGGAATGGATTACAAACTGCAATCAGTATATCCGTATATACAGAATATGAAGCAAATATCTCCATGTGGCAAATGGCTACACGCCTACTAAATTCCAAACCAGGAAGCTGAAGCAGTACCGGATGCGTTCACCCATAATTGGGTTGCAAGATACAATGTTCCTATGAAACTGCTCTCTGGCCAAAAAAAAAACTTGAAATCCAACGCAGAATCACTTCTCCCAATAGACTCTACTTTAGACTGAGTAGGCTACTAAAAAAAGGCCTCTCTCCACTATATGGCGCAAAAGCGTGGACGATATCAATGTGTGATGAGTCGGCTCTAGGAATCTTCAGTTATGCGATTTCTAACTAAGTTTTTACGATAATCGACAACGACATTTTTTTAAATTGAAAGAAAGGTGGCATCACAGCTCAACAAAACGTCAAAATATGCGAAAAGCTCAGAGGAATGACAAAAACAACTAAATTTTTTAATTATTTTTATTAAATGAATAGTAATGCATTACAAAGTTTATCCAATCAAAAACATGTTATGGTTTGCACTTTCATGTATGACTCTTCGACCTATAGAGGGACTCTAAACAAAATAATTGTGCCGCGCTCTTGGGTACTTGGCATTGCCGCTATAATCTTGCGATAAGTATCACATATCTGTGTACCAATATAATAAACTTTGTTACTTCAATAGTAATTGAAAAAAATTTACTTTCACCATTTGCTCGTTGGTCAAATGGTATTCATGAAGATTGAGATAGGCTTCTTCGTAATCGATAGCCCCAATAGTTCCTCCAGCATATGCCGACGGTATGGGAATTCAAACCTTCGCAGGAAATATAGAACGGTTGACTGCTTCTGTCACGCGATGAATACAACAACTTACTGACAACTGATTTATGGGCATTCCATATTGCTCTCCCACGTGACGTTGGTAGCATTCAGTTACAAAGAATCGCAAGGCGGCTAGAGCGTTTGAACATTTTAAACAACAAAGCGGCGGGAGCAGACGGCCTACCGGCAGAACTATTCAAACATGACGGTGAAGAGCTGACAAGCTGCACACATCAGCTACTTTGCATTATATGGTCGGACGAAAGCATACCCGACGATTGGAATTTAAGTGTGCTATGCCCAATCCATATAAAGAGGACCCCATAGTGTGCGCCAATTGCCGTGGGATAAGCCTCCTTAATATCGTCTATAAAGTCCTGTCGAGCGTATTGTGTAAAAGACTGAAGGCCAACGTCAACAAACTGATTGGCAGTATACGCTGACGCTGGACAACACCATAAGCGCATTCAGAATTGGGAAGAACCTCTCCAAGCCATTTGATACCAAACGAAATTTTAGAAAGGGTGACACTTTGTCGTGTGATTTTTGAATTTGATGCTGGAGAGAATAATAAGAGCTGCAGAGCTGAATAGAGAAGGTACAGTCTTCTTTAAGAGTGGACAACTACTGGCGTACTCTGATGATATTGACATTATTGGCCATTGGGCTTTTTCCAGGCTTGAAAAAGGAGCGAAGCGAATTAGTCTTGTACCGAACGAGTACAAGACAAAATATCTCTTGTCATCAAACAAACAGTCATCGCATTCGCGACTTGGCTCCCACGTCACTGATGACAGTCATTTCTTTGAAATCGTAGATAGTTTCGTCTATCAACACGAACATTATCGTCAGCGTTGAAATCCAGCGCAGAATCACATTTGCCAACAGGTGCTATTCGCACTGAGCAGGCAATTGAAAAGTAAAGTCCTCTCCCGACGAATGAAAACCAAGCTCATAGTTCCCGTCCTGCTAAATTGTGCGGAAACATGGACGATAACAACATCTGATGAGTCGGCGTTATGAGTTTTCGAGAGAAAGGTTTTGCGTACGATTTAAGGTCCTTTCGGCGTTGGGAATGGCGAATACCACAGACGATAGAACGATGAGCTGTACGAGTTATACTGCGATAATGATATAGTTTAGCGAAGACCTGGATGTACTTGATATTTCCATTTGACGCAAAACAGCAAAAAGAAACAGCGAACGGTAGTAGGAGGCCTACAATTACCAAGTGATGCTCCGGCGACATCAGGAGGTTTCCTGTCCGGTGCTGAGGGCGGTGTTCTGGCAAGCCTGTAACTTCTTCATCTGCGTCTATAAGTAGCCAGCAAAGTTTCTTTGTCTTTACCACAGGTGCTGCCGGCTAGCGCTTAGAATATTTTGTTGCGGCTCTGGAGTTTCGCGACAATTGCGGTCGTATGCAGAGTGAAGGAGTGTAGGCTGTCTAGGGTTACTCCCAATATTTTTGGGTTATTTACCGTCGGAATTTTTGTGTCAACGACCTTCACATCCAGTTCAAGCCTGTACTCGTTCGTCCAGCTGGTGAAGAGGGTATCCGAGGATTTTGTCGGTTGGATTCGTAGTTGTCTTGCAGTGAAGAAGTGGGAGAGATCAGCGGGGTAGCAGTACACTTTCGAGCAGAGGTCATCAATATCCTGGCTAGACGCCATTATCGTACAGTCATCGGCATACGAAGTTAGGGAAACTCCTTCTGGTGGTGGAGGGAGTTTCGAGATGTAAAAGTTAAACAGTAGCGGGGAGAGGACACCACCCTGCGGAACATGTGGTTAATTTTTCTGGGTTTAGATGTTATACCTCCGAATATTACGGATGATTGTCGACCACTCAGGTAACCCATGACCCACCTCTGCAACCCTGGCGGTAATGAGGATTCCTCAATGTCCGTTAGTAGCACTGAGTGATTGACTGTGCTTTTGACAAGTCCCGTGCTACCAGGACAGTTCGCGTGTAGGGTCGGTTTTGGTTGAAGCCATGGACTATCTGGGTGTTTATGGCGTTAAGTGCTGTTGTGGTGCTGTGCACTTTTCGGAAGCCATGCTGATGCGCTGCTGGACGCAGATGGTGAGTGAAGGTCGGGAGCAGTAAGGCCTCAAGTGTCTTTGCTACTGGGGAGAGGAGAGTTATCGGCCGATAGGACCCTCCTTTGTTGGCTTGTTTCCCCGGTTTAAATAGCGGGACCACCCTACCCACTTCCCACACGTCGGGTATCTTCAGAGTGATCAGAGACAAGTTGAGGACCCTCGTGAGAAATTCTGCTCCCGCTGGTGCAATTTCAGCATCAGCATGCTTATTCCATCGGGGCCGATGGATTTGGAGGCTTTTACCTTGCCGACGACCCCATGAACGTCCTACCTGGAGCAATAAAGCACCGCGCTGGTGTTTGGCAGTTTGCGCATATGGCATGTTACACGTCGTTTCGCTTTGTCTACCGAGGGATGCAGTGTGAAAAGTCGGCTAAAATAGCTCGCGCATCCCTTTGGGTCCGACGAGGCGCGGTCACCGAATGAAATTTCCACCCTATCATCGCGTCTCGTCGGGTTAGCCAGCGACTTGACTGTAGCCCAGAGCTTGGTTGCCCCAGAGGAGAGGTTGCAGGTCCTTAGGTGCTCCTCCCACTTTTTCTGCTTATGATTGTTGACAACTCTTCGAATCTCCGCGTTTAAATCCCTGAATAGGGGATTCCCGGGATTGGAGCTTGGGAGGGTGTCGCGCCTGGATGCTAATACCGCCGCTTCTGTCCGAAAATTCGGGCGGATTTCCGCAATTGGCCTGCTAGGATGAAGCGGGCGGCAGCGGTCACGACGACCCTGCGAAATAAGCTTTCACCAGCGGTGACGTCAGTTAGAGTGGGAAGAGCACTGAAGGCCTTCTCAGTAAATTCCATGAATCCGGGCCAGTTAGCTCTTTTAAAGTTAACAAATGTCCCGTGGTCCGCGGAAACAAAGTCGGGAGGCCTGTCAATCGAGATTTGTATGTTCAAGTGGTCCGATGCTAACGTCAGTATAGGTCGCCAGACTATACCGTTTATCAGACCAGCACTCGCAATTGATGTCGTTCATTGTGCAGAATGTCGAATCGTCTATCTGTTCCGCCAGCTCCATTCCTCTACGGTCATTTGACAGGCTAGAATTCCAAAGATCGTGATGCGCGTTGAAGTCGCCCAAAACCAAACGGTTTTCGCCCCTGAGTAGCGCACCTATATCAGGGATACACCCCAGGGCAGGGCATCTTTTAACTGGAGGAATGTATATATTGAATATTTTGAGGTCGACATCACCTGACCGGATAGCTATGCCCTGACATTCTAGGGTAGTATCCCTGCGGTCGATGTCGCCATCTATAAGACGATACTGCACGGTGTTGTGCAGGATGAACGCTAAGCCCCCACCATGGTCTCGCTCGCGATCCTTGCGGATTATGTTGTATCCGGCCCTGTTCAGAAGATCTGATCGGGCGGTCAACTTGGTTTCCTGGATCGCAGCAATTGACATGTAGTCGACTATCTCGTCAATCTTTCCCTAGAGTCCGTTGCAGCTTAATTGTAGGAGTCGGGTCTGTCTCGGGGAAACGTTCGTGATTCGGAGGGTGAGGGAGTGATGCGGGGATGGTGTGTGTTTCTGCTGTACTACCCGCGAGAGTTGGTTCCGCACGTTGGTGTTGGTCGGCGGAGGGTTTGTAGAGACATGCAGGGGCAGACTCCTACAGCACGGGGTAACATACGCATCGCTCCACTCATGGGTGGTGCGCAGGCCAGAGCACGTCCGAAAGTAACACCAGCCAGAGCAAAAGTTGCATTTGTCTGAGGTCACGTTTCGACGCACTATGGTCTGACACACGGAACAGACAGTGCGGGGGACTAGGAGCTGCTGGGTAGCCCTCGCACGGGAGGAGGATGAGGAGCTGGTTGTGGGTAGGGATGGGGGTGGAGGTTGGAGGGAATCATGCTGCGGGGAGCTCCGTAAGACCGTGGAGGTCTGCTGAATATCCAGAGTGGGTATATGAGCTGAAGGCACTGACGTGGAGGCTGAGGGGACGGTTGGACGCTGGCAGCATGGGGCCACATAACTCGTGGTCCATTCCCTGTGGGTCTCAAGGCCTGAGCAGGTATTAAGATGACTCCAGCTGAAGTAATCCGTCGGTCCAGGGTTGGTTTCAACACCAGCCCTGATCAGAAGGATTTGGAGCGGCCTAGCTGCGAGGTGTTGCTCCATTGGCGAACTTAGACTAAAGTTACCTGTAGACCTAAACGGGGTTAGGTCGCCGAAAGGGTGACAGCCCTTGGCCGGATAAAATCCGGGTCAACTCCGGTGCGAAGAACCGGCTGTCGTGAGAGTCGACACCCACGAGGGTACTGTTTGGTAGTGAACTACGGTTGCCTAGCGATTTAAAATTTGGAATAACTGGTGATGCGAGAAGAATTGGGAAGGTAACGTCTACCGATCTCGAGGAAGAGCTAAGAGAGGTGCATGCTCTTGTGAGACAGCGAACTCAAGTTATGAGTGACAAAATGAAGGCCAGGTATGACAAGGCGATGAACTCCGAAGGTTTCCAAAATGGAGATTTGGTGTTGCTGTACAATCCACAACGGAAGAGGGGTTTGTCCCCAAAACTTCAATGTAATTGGGAAGGTCCATACAAGGTAATCAAACGACTAAACGACGTAGTGTACCGAATCCAAACCGTTAGGAGTCCAAGAAACAAGATGAAAGTGGTCCACCTTGAGAGGCTTGCTGAATTTGGAACAGTGAACTTAGGTGGAGTGCAGTGTTGCGAAAATGCGAGGCGAATGTCAGATGAAAGAAAGAAGCCGATAACTAGTAAATTCTAGAACGATAAAAACAACTCGATTATTTACACTTTCGTCTACAAGCAGCCGACTGCTATATAAGGGCGACACTTAGCTGCCAAGTCAAGTCAGTTACAAAGTGAACTCTTTGGCGTTAACATTGGTAAAGTCGTAAAGTAAACGCGTTGGAAATTACATTCAAGTAAAGTATATTGTGTGTACAAGTGATTATAACTAGTGAAGTGCATCGTAATTGAATTGTGAATTACTGCGTAGAGGACAAATTAAGTTGGCGAGTTTTATTTAATAATCCAGAGATAGTACCCGAAGGATTCAGAAAATCATCAAGGTTGATTTAGCAAAATCGTAACAATATTAAAGCAATTGTGTATTAATAAATATTTGTTGATCAAGTTCCTTACAACTTAGAAATTGTACAATAAATTATGTGATTTGATTTAAGAATGAAATGACCGAACTAGAAGCACTTGGGAAATAACCGAGGCGTATTCCCCAAAATCGTCAAATACTCTTGGTTCTCTGCGGAAGCACATTAGTGCTTGCCTGTGGAGACGCGAGGTTATACTAGCCGAAGTCAAAAAAAGTTATCGATTATTGTTGACAAATTGTAAGAACTCTGTTGTCCCCGCGCAATAGTTTCAAATTTCATAAGTTTGTGTTAACTGAGATAGACTTTGTAATTATAAGTGTTCGTATTTGTGGATTTATAATGGATATCGAACTTCCTTATAAAGCTGAATATGCTAAAAGTGGTAGGGCTTCATGTAAAATGTGCAAGTCTTCAATTGCTCAAGGAACTTTACGCTTGGCTGCCATGGTGCAGGTTTGTAAACACCTATTCTCACTAAAAGTATTTCAAGTTTTGTTTTTTTTTTTCGTAGTCAGCTTTTCATGACGGAAAACAACCACTTTGGTTTCATGAGGACTGTTTTTTTAAGAAACAACGCCCCAGTGCTGTAGGGGACATAGACAATTTTGAAAACATGCGATTCGAGGATCAGCAAAGAATTAAGTTGAAAGTTGGTAAGTAGATGTGAATAATTTAGCACGAAGTAAAAAATAAATTCGGAGAATTTTTTATATGGAGCGCAATGTATTTGGTATGAAATTTTCTGGGATGGTAGCAGGAACTCGATTTATAAAGCTATTATAGTTGTAGCGTATTAATAATGTAATAAATTTGGCGAGGACTACTGCTAAGGGTACCAATTTATGCAGACCATTAAAGAACCCTCAGACGTAAATCTCACGCAATTTTTATTTTCTTTAGTACATTTTACTGGTTTTTTACTTTTAACTGCAGAAATAGAGTTTACCCTCAAATTTTCATCCAAAAAAGGTTTATAATAAATTTTGGTGAAATTAGCTAATTTCCAGAAATCGTTATTCAATTTCTATGAAATTTCTAAAGCTACAGTAACTGCTCTTGAATTTATGTATCCAAATTTCACATTTGAAGAGATTTCGTCACTGCCATGGTTCAACGTTGTATTTTCGAATTTGAAGAAAAAGAGGAGGGAAGAAACTAAGACGGAAGTTTCAGGAAAATTATTCAAATATAATGACGAAAATTTATAAGTTTGTATACAACCATTATTTATATAACAAATGGAGGGGCCTATAATTTAATAATAATAATTTTTTAATTTAATAATAATTTTACAAATATTAAGATAATATAGACTCTTGTTAAAATATGTATGCATGTAGGTAAAAGGCTGGCTACTGTGAACTTGTTCCAGTTGCAATTTAAAACTACATTATAATCTGTTTATTATGAAATCGAAGAGAAGTGAAAAACACGTCACAATAGGCAGAGGTCTTACAAAGCGTTTATATATGAGGGGCCGTTTATTGTAAGAAAGAGAGTGTCATCGTGGACATACACACTGCCAGATGACAAGACAAACGGACTTGGAACGTTAAAGAGTTGAAGCCATATAGGGATTAATAGGGTCCGGTTAGAGATTTCCGTTCCTTGACCAAAAGGAAGGTTCCTTTTCGTTGAGGGAGTTGGACTTGTCGTGTATTGGCCGCAACAAAAACTTTGTTTGTTCATTTCCTTTGTTTTGTCTAATCTTTCTTTTACTCCAAGCGTTGGCATTGACATCTATCGGCAAATAGTTGCATTATTTGAAGCCATGGATTAATGGTACGATTGTATTCGTCGTGCGCTTACCCAGTGATGTAAGTCTCCAAAAGGAGAGGTTCCTCAAAACGGTCCCTCCACTAATAAATAATTGGGAAACGGAATGCATTGCGCGGATATTTCGTAAAAAGGGTTGTCGACTTTTTCTTTACTCCGGCGAGGGGAAAATTATCCCAGTGTACTTGGTGTGCCATGGTGGCATGCGCTATACAACCAGGTCCCTTTGGGACGCAGAAGAATTCTGAAGGTCGACGCGTAGCTTGCGGCCTGGCTCGCAAGTGCGTACCGTATCAGATTCTCGTAATCTTTGGCAAAGAAAACGAGCGTGCGTTTTTTGTGTGTGTCGTGCCGTTACGTCCTCACCCGAACGAGCTACTGCTAAGTTGTTTTTGTACGATTTTGTTGTGCCGACAGTGTCACTAAGCTCGTTACGTCCTTACCCATCCCACTGGCATCCCGCACCCGGAGCCTAGTCACTTAGGAGGTTGAAAGTTACCCCCGGCAGCGGGAGTAGTGCAAGTGGGTTTGTAGCAAGTTTGGTTGGACCACACCTCGGGTCCACCCCAAAAATATATTTTGGTCACTCTGAGTAGATACATACATATAGTTTTGCTCTGTGGTCGAATTATGGTTGTCGTACGAGATTTTCTTATCGCGTTATAAAGTTTCACTAAGATTTGTTTTTCCTTACAAGTAGTTTTTTTGTTGTGCATAGCTAGCGACCTACGCCGTCTTAACTTTGCTGCCCGGTCGCTCTGTAAGTTTTTGTCATCTCCTTTTTGTGCTGTAGTTTGTTTTGTTGACCTGGGTGGTTGTTTATAGGCGCAACGTATGTACATACGCACATACATATTGTGCTGCTGTCATCAGGTTAGATCAAACTTATAGATTACAAAATGTATACTGGCGTTTTTTTTTAAATAATTTTTACAGAGTATAAATACTTGTGTTGTCATTTGGCCGATTTTCGCAATGCTCTAAAAAATCTATACGTATATACTGCACACTTGTTAGCCCACGGCCAGGTTTTTGAAAAAAAAAAATCGGGGACTCTTATGGAATTTTTTACATATAATAAAACTTTCACAATTTTTCCAAATAAGATTAGCTTTTTAAGCAGGAAGACACATGCTTTTTCCCCGGGTTTCCCCCCACTTTTTTCTAATAAATTTTTGAAAGGTAAAACTTTACATATTTTTGAGGGAGGTATAATAACACAAGCTCTTAATATATCCACCCCAGGTGTAGTCCTAATATGCACTGGAAATATAAGGACTAGGGTTTCACGCAACCCACCAAGCCCACGAATCTTATAAACAAAATTAAAAAAAAAACAGTCATCAGGTGTAGCTGGAAATAACTTTCCTTAAAATTTTTTTATAGCTAATGCGTTGTTTTTCAATAACTGGCAAGGTATTAATGCTTTACCAGCTTTTTGCTTCTCTATGAAACATACACTTATCCATTTTGTGTAAAATTTAGGTTAGTTTCGAACGTTACTCTACTAAATCAAGGCTTTTCAAAATTCCAAGCGGATTTTATATGTATGTGTATATTACAAAAATAATATTGTATAATATATATAATATAATGTGGATAAATTTTGTATAAAAAAAAAAATTAATTTCTTATAGTTTTGAATGTTGGTCCTTGGCCAGATAAAAACGAGAACTGTCGCGGGAACTTTTGGTCGCCTCTTACGACAGGCATGCCTTACCGTGGGAAAATTTTTAAACCCCTACCCTGTAGGGGTTATCCTAAAACCATCAAGTATGACTGCTACGTTGGTTTGAAAAATTATGTTATTGGTTGGTATGTTGGTCTTTACAATTACAGCATTACATTCAAAGATAGATAGAACGCAAAACAATGTCCGAGCACCGCTTCTGAATAGTAATTGGAAGTAGCAATTAGTAATAAATGGAACTAATTTCTTCAAATTGCATATATCATAATGCATTAGGATCATTAGGATATTTTCATCATTGTAAACAGCTAGATTAAATCATTGTATTTCAAATAATCGTTGTTATTGGAAATTTCACCGCCAGGTCAACAACAAATTTTCCCTATAGTTAAAGACGCGACACTGTCAAACTATAAAATGCTAATAAGTGCACGTAAGTTTGTGTTTAACAAAATGTTTATTATATTCAATTACTAACGGGTTATATACCTCTACTATGTTTTTCCCGTTATTGAAAAAATAAGGTAAAAAGCAGAATTTTTTTATGTGGAAAGTAGGGCAATACAATTATAATGTGTGGATCGTATTAGTTTCATATTTAAATAAAAAACAGTTGTTTAAATTAGGTTATCGAAAATCCCATACGTCATTCTCTTTTAAATATTATTAAAAAGGTGCAAGAAAAAAGCCAATTGAAAATATGTTTAGTATGCTACGATTCAAGCTATTCAAAAGTGTCGAGAGAGCACATAGGAACATTGAAATCAGAGAATTAGAAGATATTATTATTTCTTGTACAACCCAAGTTGATTTTATATTTCTATAATTTACTGGAAAACAGTCTAAATATAAACTCGAAGCAAGGTTGCTGCTAAGGTCACAATGCATTCTTAAGCTTCCGGAAGCGACGACGATGCACTGAATTAAATATTAGTCGCGTTTAAAAGGAAAAATTAAGCTCTTTCTAGGATTTTATTTAACAGAATGGAAGACACTCTTTAATAATGTTCAGTCGCCGGTTCACAGGACAAAATAAGGCTGCAACTACCCATTTCACTCACCAGCCGTCCATAACTGACGACGTCAGTAGTGAAATACATACACGAGTTATCGACGCCGCTGAGAGCGGAGAAATGTTGCCAGCTGCCTGTGTGTTTGCACACTTTTGAACAAATTCATAATTTTCGTCAACAAATTTCATAATTTATTTGCTTGAACATAAACACAAGCAAATATACATGATCTATATGGTAACAAATAATTAGTTACGCATTTATTTCTCATTTCTTTTGAGCAAAACTACGGTTTATCTAGAAAGGCTATACTGGCAACCTTGTATAGCAACGAAAAATGAGCCGAGCCGGTTTTACGGAAAAAATCAAAACTACGTTGGTTTCTGCGACACAAACGTCACCAACGTTATGGGAAAGCGGTGATAACTTTGTGTTTACATGGCGCTCTCATAAGATAGGTTACTATGGACGGCTGGTACGCGCGTTGGATAGTTGCAGCCTAAGTCCAAACTGATTTTCGTGTTTCAATCATCCTTCCTGAAAATATAAAATCTAAGCAACAAATTGTTGCCAAAAAAGATCTACATATATTTTCGTCATTTTAGAGGACTATTAGAAAAATCAAGTTGGTATCTTTATCATTTGATGACTATAAAGCATACAGAATTTCATCATTGCTGCAATACAATAAAATACAATTCAGAAAAATTCCATATAATTGCCAATTTTATTAAAATACATGAGAGAATACTTAAAACTAGAAATAATAAATGAATGGATTCAAATTTAATCGCAAAAATAAACAGTTGTTGTACAATTTGCTAGCTAATTTTTACTGAATCCTGCTCGGAGAAAACTCAGTAAATTTCTTTCTTTGGGAGAGTAATACATCTTAATTTTTACTGAAACTTCTCAACAAATACAGCTAATAATACTTCAAATCTGTATAATGTGACACTTTATTCAGCGACACTTTATCTCATTATTTTTAGATACTCGTATTTTTGTTTGGACTTACCTCTCCAGACCGAAATTTTGCCAAATTGAAACTTTTTTTATATGAAAATTTGTTGGCTAAAGCTTTTAAATTTTCTTAGAAACCTTTGAACTAAATGTTACGAGTGAAAAAATAATCTATTTAGTTTGTGGGTCTTCATTGGGTCGTCCTGCTTAGAGGGATTAATTAATAATCTCTCCGATATCTTTCGCTTTGACAGGAACAAATGGTAATAACTTTGTGCGAAGTTCGCACTGTAACAAGGATGCATAACAACCAACCAACCAGTCTGGAGCTCTGGCGATGTACTACAAATGTTGTGGCCTCTGGTCTGGTCTCTCCTGTTGGCCAAAGCTTGCTGTACGATTTCTTTTTTAAGACGATCCAATTGACAGTGCAGGTCCGAAATGAAAGTTTGGCGGTAGGAGAGTAGTTCATAGTTTCTTGCCAATCCCTCGAAGCACACAACAAAGCCTTCTTGTATTATTTATTATAAAGAGAAAGTGTTGCGAAAGAGTTGCAAAAAGTTTAAAATTTATGAATAGGAATATACAGTCAAAGTGAAAAGCTTAAATACACCTATAAAACTCCACTTTTTGTTAAAATTAAGCAGTTTAGAAACAATATAATCCAAAAAATCCAAGTCGTGTAGATAACGGTAAATTCATTAAAAACTTGAAATCACGCGGGACAAAAGTTTAAATTTAACCAAAGATAAATACCCATCGCATGTGCTTTGCAAGTTCTTTGGGAATAAAGTACCGTTATATTCAATGATTTAGAAACTTATACACATATACCCGGTATTAGATGCGACTTCTTCGGTAACAGTGAATGCAAAGTAAAAAAATGGGTAAAGAAAAACAGATAAAGTGAGATATAGAAAAAATCTTGATAATCCTTATGCGAGTGTGCAAAATATTGTTCGAAAGTAAAAACCTACAAATATGTTAGAAATAGGCCAAGATCTAGGCGTTCATGGAAGCTATCCTGGAGAGATATTAGTTTTATCATCAAGAAAGTGACAAAAAATCCTAAAAAAAAGTGCTCCAATAGCTGATAGCTAACAGCATCGATAAAATATTGGGCAAAAATGTACATGCAAAAACTACAGCAAGAGCTTTACGGGAAGATAACAATCGAAGCAGAGTTCCTCGTAAATCTGAGAAAAATAAGCAACTTCGTCTTTAATTTGCAAATAAATACAAGGATATGGTAGAATTATTTTGGAGAAGACTCCTGTTTACGAGCGAATCGAAATTTAACGCGTTCGAAAGCGTTGGCTGCGTAAAAATTTGGCGTAAGGCAATGACAGCTTATCAAACCCAAAATTTAATAAAAACCGTTAAGCACGTTGAGGGTAGCGTCAAGGTTTGGGGAGCGATTGGAGCAATCGGCGTAGGACATTAACTCGTCAGCTTTATAGTCCGCTGCAATCATCAAACTTGAACATCAATGACCATATTTGGGAGTTATTGGCACGAAAAATTGCTTTGGCGGCTTCAACCAGCAAATAAGCCCTGGAAAAATATCTGAAAAAGGCAGTCTGAAATTGCGCCATCAGAAATAGAAAATTTGGTATGTCTACCCCACGACGTCTAAAGGCAGTTATAGAAGCATGATCTGGGCCAACAAAATATTAAAATTGTTTTAAACCCCTTTATTTTTAGTTTAATTTAGTCAAAACATGAAATAATATGTATAGTATTTAAATTTTTGTCCCGCGCGATTTCATGTTTTTAACGAATTTACCGTTATTTACGCTACTTTGAATATTGTTTTGGATTGTATTGTTGATTAATTATCTACTTTAAATAAGTTGCATTCTTACATACATATACTATAAAATGATTAATTTTAATAAAAAGTTGCATTTTATAGGCGTATTTAAACTATTGTTTTTGACTGTATGTAAGAAATCTTAATGTTTGTCGTGCACCAGTACCAATATTAAACAAGTTTACCAGGGTAGAAAGGGCGCATTGCCACAGGGCCAGTTTTAGTTAAATCCGTTGACTGTATTTATTCTATGCGTTAAAAGCGGCTGTGGTGTTGTCCCGAGTGGGGAGTACACTGAAGTCGTTCTTGGTAAATTCCGTGAAGCCGGGTCAGTTAGCTTTGTTAAAGTTAACGGTCCACGGAAACGAAGTCGATAAGCCTGTTAATTAAGCCAATTATGGGCATGTGATCTGATGCTAGCTCCACAAGCTTACAAGGCTATGTTGTTTATTAAAATACCGCTGGCAATAATGCAATAGCGGATTTTATTCGACCAAGAGCTGTCATCTTTTCGGCGACTAATGTTACCAGCAGGCATAAACGGAGTTAGGTCTCCGAAAAGTTGACAGCCCTTGGCCGGGTCAACTTCGGTGCGTCGCGAGACCAGCTGAACGAGAAAGTACAAGCTGAAACTCGATGTGAAAATCGATGGCGTTGATGGAACATCATTTGAACAGCGAAGTATCTATGCTGCGAGTTAAGGTAGCATTCCAACAGATATTTATTAGAAGCCGAACTTTCTCCATCAGAATGGAAGTACTAGAATTAAAGGACAGTATTCTGCAAGATTTACAAAAAACCCACTTGACAGGACGGCGTGCAGACAGGCACTATATGCCATTCACCAAGAGTCCAAAAACACCTTCCTGAAATCTCTCCCTGTGAACTCGGGCAGGCTAACTACTATTTGGAGGAAAAGCTCGGCCGAAAGTTCCATCAGCGGTTATAAAGCGATGCAGAAACCAATCCTCATATATATATACAGCCTTGGCCAAAAGTATTAGGCACCCCACTAATTACTGAATTTTTTGTCTTAACAAGTGAAGAAATGAAGTTTTATTACTAAAACAGTGAAAATACAATGAACTAGTGATAATAACATTAATATTTAGTAGGTCTGCCCTTCGATTTAATAACGGCAGCAATTCTCTTAGGCATGCCGCATACACTTTGCACATTCGTCAGCACTTAATGCGTAGCACTCGTTAATTAAGGCAGTTTTTGATAATATACTGTGTTGCTTAATCTTGCGTTTTGAAATAGCCCACATGTGCTCAATGGGATTAAGATCTAGGAGACTGTGCAGGCCATTCTAACATAACAATGTTGTTATCCCTAAACCAACGCATCGTAGTCGCTGATTTGTGACATTGAGCATTGTCTTGCTGAAATTGAACCCCGTCTAAATTAGTATCGACGAAAATGCGCGTTAACGAAGGCAGAAGAACAGCTTCTAATACATTTATGTACTATTGACTGACCATGCGACTCTCGCAAATGAACTTTTCGCCGACACCAGTGGGTACCACGCGATCTGGATGATATTATTCCCCTACCCGCCGCCTCACGAACGTCACAGCAGGTGTTTCAAATATCTGTTGAAATTCGGTCTCAAACCCGCCGAACTCATTCAATACAATTACGAATTTCAAGCCAATATTCACTTCGTGGATTGCATATGTAATAATTTAGGCAATATTCTTTTTTAAACCATGATGCATATACCTTGCTTGGAAGTAGCTTTGAAAGTTAAAATTGGCATTTTGTTTTCTGTAAGAATGCTATAGATAGGTAAAGCTCTTTATTTAATATTTTTATTTTATTGATGATGATTTTACATACTCGTAGTCCAATGATATTCCACTGGAGTATGTTAAATGTTATCATGAGGTAACGAAAAATGCATTACTGCATCTTCTGTTTGCTCAACCACGGCATACGAATCTGAATTCCGCCGAGTTGGCCTAAATAAGTAGCTATTCTTATTAAAAAGTTCTTACGTTATGCGAATAATGAGCGATGATTTCGCTAATTTTGATATAGACTCGAATGGGTTCGCGAAACTTGGAGACTAATGGGATTGTTATATACAGGAGTGGACGAAAACGTTGTGGACTTAGATGTAGATTTAATCGGATTAGGGTTCGAAATAAGTTGATGTTTTAGAACGGGCGAGTAGGTTATTGAGAGGTTGACTGTGCGTTATTGATTGTTGTATTATGATTTTGATTTGCAGAAGATATTTTTGCAAACAAAGGAGAATGGACACGAGGGTGTAGACAATTTTTAAGTTATCTTTCGGCTGCAAGAACTTAGGCATTTGTTAAAATTCATTACAATTGGCGAAACTAATTTCGAGTGTTTTTCACGTTGGAATAATGGGCATAATAGTGTATTTTTACAGTGCTTGGTTGTGTGGTTTAGTAGCTGCATCGCATGGGAGATCGTTAACAACACATTCTACAAGGAGCTCTTTTACAATTTCATTATTTAGAAGTGACTTTAAAAAGGGAGCGAATATGGTTTCTTTGACGAAATTGTTATTTCCATGGTATTTGCCGGTTATGTCACAGATTCCAAGAAGTCGTTTTCTGTCGCACACAGCTACACCAATGAATTTAAGGTTAGCAAAATATTGGCTTAAATTAGGTGAAAAACCATCTGCTATATTTTTTGGAGATTTTTTTTCTTTCTTTTGACGTTAAACCCGTTGTCCCATATATTTTAGCCCCTGGTGGACATGACAACATATGGCAAAAAATTATAACTAAAGTTACACTATCTTATAAATATATACATTGACCCAAAATACAAACAAGAATTATTGTTATTATTGATACTTTGATGGAACTCTAAATTCATTGTTTTTATATTTATTTGCGCAGATAACCCTTCCGACTCTTCAGCTGCTACTAGTTCAAAAAAAGGAAAAAAACGTTCCGCAGATGATTCTACACTGAAAGATTTTGGTGTCGAGTATGCTAAGAGTAGTAGATCATCTTGCCGTGGCTGCGAACAAAAAATTTTAAAGGATCAGGTTCGCATCCGAAAAACTGCGTATGATACGGAAGTTGGAATGAAGTATGGAGGTCAACCATTATGGCATCATGTTGAATGTTTTGCTCAATTGCGCAATGAGCTTGGTTGGTTGCAAAAAGGAGATTGTCTTCCCGGATACAAAAGTTTAAAAAAAGAAGACCAGTCTGACATTTTAAAATTCTTACCGTATGCACCTGAGTAGATTTAAAGAATTTCTTAATTAATTACAATATATAATATTTTATCTTTTTTATATAGGGCTCTGAAATCCGAAAGCGGTTTGGTCGTCAAAAAAGCTAAAGTCGAACCAGATATTAAGACAGAAGAAGAACATATACACAAATTAATAGAAAATCAGTCAAAACGTGTATTCAAGATTCGTGATCTAGTAGAGGGACAAATGAATAAAAAAGATATTATTAGTTTGCTGGAGCATAATAATCAAGAACCTGTAAACGGAGATTCAGAAAAACTTCTGAATCAAGTTTCAGATATGCTAGTTTTCGGAGCTTTGTCACCATGTCCCCAGTGTAATGGCCGTGAAATATTATTTAGTAAATCTGGATATTTATGTAATGGGCAATTAACGGAGTGGACAAAATGTACAAATCTTTTGAAAGAACCTGAGCGTAAACCTTGTAAAATACCAAAAAAATTAAAGGAGGAATACAGTTTTTTATCAGATGTTAGAAATAAGACAGAAAACAGAGTTATTAAATATAACCCACCCAGTGCTACTGTTATTTCGAAGACTATAAAAGCAAAAGTGGAAGTTGAACCAACCGAGTAAGTATGTTAATTTAAATGGTATAAGAACCCAAAATTTGTAAGGCCAAGTAATAAATAATTAAAAGATTAATATGTCTTAGAAAATATGTAACATAACTCGTTCGCACAATCGTTTGCTTATGAATTCTCTCTTAGTTTTTTATGTTGAAAGTGCCAAACTTTTACTTTTGTTTAAAACAAGATGTCTTGCTTGTTTAAAAAGTGCAATTAGAAAAAAGCTACATATTTCTAGTTGGGTTTGCAATGAACAAGCACATGCTGAATGTGCCGGTTTAAACGGTCGTGCCCTAGACTTGATTCATGACAGCAAGCGTCCTCGGTACTTATGCAAAAAATAAAGAAAAGTTGAAAAGGAGTACCTTCGTTTAAATAGGGAGTGACTTTAAAATCTTTAATGAAAAATACCCGAAATATTAGGAAGCATCTTCAAAATGTATTTCTTCCTCCTACTTTCTGAGAGCACTCATCAGCCACCGGGTATAAGGGAACTATGGGATGGCATTTCGACCTCCATACAAACAGCTGCACACGAAACTATTAGATTTCGCATTGGTTGCAAAAACGGCTGGTACGATGAGGACTGCCGTGTCGCGGTGCAGAGAAAACAGACTGCCTACCTACCAACACGTGTGGAGTTGGATAGATCTGAAGACCCTAGGCGTCAGCTAGTGACGGATGCCCACAGCATACTAAGTTTATAGAGCGAACACTACTCCTGCCTGCTCTTTGGCGGTAAAATTATACACCCGAAGATGGTGACCCCGAAACTCCAATTGATGACGATGGAAAAGTTGTTCCGTTACCCGACTATAAAGAAGTCCGAATAGCAATCGCCCTCTTGAAAAACTACAAAGCAACGGGAACAGATTGATTTACGGCAGATCTATTCAAATACGGTGGTGAAGAACTGATCCGGTGCACGCATCTGCTTCTTTGCAAAATATGGTCGGTTGAAAACATGTCCGACGGTTGGATCCTGAGTGTGCTCTGCTCAATCCACAAAAAGCCGATCCCACAGTCTGCGCCAATTACAGTGAAGCAAGCATCCTTAATATCGCATATAACGTCGTACCAAGCATATTGTGTGAAAGACTAAAGCCCACCGTCAAAGAACTGATTGGACCTTATCAGTGTGGCTCTAGACCTGGTAAATACACTATTGACCAGATATTCAACATGCGCCAAATCTTGTAAAAGACCCGTGAAAAGAAAATCGACACACACAACTTTTTCGTCACACACCTGGTGGAAGACCAGTTGAAAACCGTACAGCTGTTTGTTGTGAAAGCAGCTTTTTTACGTCGAACCGCCTTTGTGTTTGTTGACGGATGTTGGGTACACAGATTGGCGTGAGATAGTGATCCGCGTTGATGTTAGGACCTCGGATTGAGGTCTAAAACACTGGATATATGTCTTTCGGTTATCACAATTTGATCGAACTGGTTGAGAGTTTTTCGATATGGAGATGGCCAAGAAGCTTGGTGAATTTTCTTTTGCTGGAATCAAGTACTACATATTTCGGGCACGGGCAAGTCGATCAACATCAACCCATTTGGTTTCCGCGTGGAGGCTGAATTTCAAGAATGTTGTCCCAAAAATATTTTCTAAGCTCTTAATGTCGTTCAAGACAATTTTGACGTCATGTCTGTGACAGCGCTCATAAGTGTTCTAGAGACGCTCATATAAGGCATCCTTGGTCAAATCACCTTTCCCTTCCGTCGGGGCGTGAGCGCAAATCAGCGTTGTGTTAAAAAATTTCGTTTTGAAATGGATTATTGCGAGACGTTCATCCACCGGAGTGAATGGCAGTACTCGGTGACATCAACAAGTTGGGCAGCTGCAACTTCCCACTTAAGTAACAGGACATTCCAGGTGCATGCCATAAGGTCGTAATCCTTAAAACCTTTGCCGAGGTCATCATTGATAGAGGGCTTTCATCCGCGGCATATTTGGTTTTTCATTGGATTTTGTTTTTCATGTGGTGGGTCCCAAATCCTACGCACAATCGCAGGAGATTCGCCTTCTCACTTTAGCTCGCCTGCAAACGGATGTTTGTTGGAGTCCAGGGTATACTTGGTCTAACGTCGGAAGTCGTGAGCTGCTTGAACCATATGCAAAATAATCATTTCTGATCACTCTCAGGTGACTGGCAGTTAAAAACTTTCCTCACTTTCGTGAACTTCTACATATGGCCCCATCCCACATTAAAAATATGCGTGATTTTTATGCTCGGTCACAGATTTTAATGCTCAATTTTGTATTTCAAAACCAATCAAAAATTATGTACGGGAAAATTTATAGAAAGAACCCCCAAACCATTTATATTTAAATATAGATTATGAATATATAAAACTTTTTTAACATTTATCGATAATTTTTCGTAATTATTTTGAGGTTTTAATACTCTTTTTTAAGTAATTTGCGTATGCTTAAGAAATTCAGCTAGAAAGCATCCCGAACGAACTTGTTTTCGTTGTTTCTAAAATGTGAGAAATTATGTAATTTTTGTTTATTGATTGCCGCCAACTCAAAATCATTATTTTAATTATATATTAGTTTAAGATATTAGTAACTAAAGTTAAATAATAAGCTTTATTGTATTTGAATTTAATATTCATTTTCTTCCTCTATTTTATTTCAGACCTAAAGTAAAACGTGAACGGCCACCTCTTTACAAGTTGAATTTTGCTTGCATTGGCCTTAAGGAAGTTGAAAAAAGCTTAAAAGCCCGTGTTAATAAATTGGGTGGCGAAATTTCAACAAAACTAAATGAACATACTGCTGCTGTCTTTTCATCAAAAAGTGAAGTAGAGAATTTAGGAAGTCGAATGAGAAAAGCGAAAGAGCTTGGTGTTCATATTATACCTGTAGATTACTTAGATTTAGTTGAAAAAAGTCCATCGAACGCTATTAATTACATTAGCAGTACTGCTATCTCAGATTGGGGAACTGATCCCAACAGCCGAATTTTACAAGAGGACGTAAAATCGAGCAAATCAAAGAGTATTTATACCAAATCAGTCGCTAAGTCCATGACGTTAAAAATAAAAGATGGCTCTGCTGTAGACCCAGAGAGTGGATTACAAGACATTGCACATGTTTATCTAGATGGGAATACCAAATATAGTATTGTTCTCGGTCTAACAGATATTCAACGCAACAAAAATTCATTCTATAAATTACAGCTTTTGGAAGGCGACTTAAAAAACAAGTAAGAGATACAATTTAATTATAAATGGTACATCGTACGAATTTCAATTTTTTGTGGTTATATTCTGTAGCTCTTATCTTAACTAAAATATTCAAAAAAGTTGAGGTCCAACGCGAGAATAAGGCTGAAAAAATGATTTATACATGTGCATATGTATGCATATATTGATATATATATATATATGTGCATATGTATGCATACATTGATATATATACATGTGCATATGTAATCATATATTGATATATATACATGTGCATATGTATGCATATATTGATATATATATATGTGCATATGTATGCATACATTGATATATATACATGTGCATATGTATGCATATATTGATATTTATATATATATATATACTCACATATGTACATAGGAAAATGTACCATGTTAGCCAAGACTTCAACTTCACAAACACCTGTATAACTTTTTCAGTCTTTTACTCACACACTTACATTTTTCATATTCAAATTGGAATTGGACATAGTGGTGACAAGTCGTGTTGTCCTTGACTTAGCTCAAGCTGTATCTGTATTTTGGGAAAACAACAATCGTAATTTAAGTTCTAATATAATTTAGATTTCAAGAAACTTTGATAAAAATTAGTGCAATTATCGTTTATTAAGTAAAGTACGAAAATAATAGGTAAAATAAAAAATAATCATTGCATTTAATTAAATGCTTTCCTTACCAGTTAGAATTATCCATGTTAATATAAATATGCGCTCTTTTGCTAGATAACCTTCTTCCATTTTGAAAGTAATGCCACTAAACGCAAACAAATTGAGACTCGCCAGCCAAATCATTCTTCATAGACAGGAACAGATAATCACTTGGCGCGAGGTCGAAGTATAAGAATCGCGCAACCAAGCACAATTCTCCTTCTGTTGGACCAAGATAGATGCTTCTGGGCGATTGCTTCATTCAGACAGTTCAGGTCCGTATTAAGAGTTGAGAAGCATCCCATAGTGGATGATTTCTTGCTAATCTCGCCAAACACATATCAGGACCTTCCTGGCCGTCAATGCTGGCTTGGGAATCATTTCTTTTGGTTCACTGTCCTTCGAACACGACTGTTTGACGGTGCTGTAAGTGATCTACTTTTCATCATCATTCAGATTTAAACGGAATGGATGGAAATTAGGTTCATGAGGTTTCTTTCGTTAACTCTTGTGTATCGAGTACCTGATCGTGCACTAAGGAGAAGAAATTGTCATACACATATTCAAGTTTTCAATACCATTTCAATTATTCGTTATTACACAATTATAAAAGATCTAATTATCAGAATAATACACCGGTGACAATATGTAATATATATTTGGCGTTTTGTAACTGCTCCAACAAATGGAGGGGCCTACAGTTTATATAAAGCCGCCTTCAAACTGCTGATGGTTTTTTATGAGGAGCCTTTATTTAATATTATAATTACACTCGTAGGGGTTGACATTCCCTCCCGAGAGGTGATCGTAATAAGAAAATGTATCCTAATTTTTCCGAATGCCAATACGCAATTCTAACCACTCGTCTGCTGCTGCCGCCGGACTATAAAATCTAATAATTTACAAATTTATGTGAATTACATCCATTTTAATTTCATTCATTTACAGATACTGGGTATTTCGTTCTTGGGGTCGAATTGGTACAACCATTGGCGATCATAAATTAGAAAGTTTTGGAAATCTCATAGAGGCCAAACAATCGTTTCACCAAGTTTATCTTGACAAAAGTGGAAATGACTTTAAGGATCGCAATAATTTTGTAAAGGTACTTTTTATAACATAATGAAAGTATATTGAAATATTTTATAAACTTAACTATGCAGGTAAAAAGTTAGTCGAAATCGTAAATTTATCTATAAACATATTTAGTAATATTAGTTGGTAATGTTTGAAAAGTTATGTATTCTTAAAATTTCATGCCAATATTGGTAAAACTGTTTCTGATATCGAATTTCGCAGGAGCCTAATGTTATAAAGTTTCTCGAAGGAAATAATTATACATGGATATATTTCAAATATTCTGCCTTTTTGTAAACAAGCATGATGATATTTCCCATGGTAATATTCCTTAACTTGTGTTTTTCTAATTGTGAATTTCGCATGTAACAAATCTTCAATTCCCGGAAACTTTCCCTATCCATAATTGCAATTTTGTTTATATGAAACCGTAAAATTCGTTCACAAGATTTTTAGCAGGGAAAAACTATGAATACATTGTATGTATTCTTTATTAACAATTTATTTAATTTTAACAACTTTTTTCGTGAACTAAGGTAAGATTCGTATCCCACTCGTATTCCAAATTGTTGAGTCATGACAGGCTCCTACATGAGCATATTCAATGTACTTTACTTTTATTTTTTCATCACATACGTGCAGATAAATTTTTATTAACGCGTATGCAAACAAGAAAATTTTACCAACTTATCAGCAAAACATTCATACTTTATTAGCCTTTTATGGTTTGTCAAAAGCCGAGGAAAGCTCATCCCATCCAGAGTCGAGCGAAAGTCCAACTAACCATCGCAAAATAAAACATAAATTACTTAAACCTGGTGGTCATGAGGATTTCTTATTCTCGATATTAGAACCGCGTGGTTGAACGTGTCAACAGTTTTGTTTTGGTTTTGTGGAATTTAAAGTAAGACCAAACTTTTCTGCAGAGTTATGAATTATATGAGGTACTACAATATGTCAATATAAATTTATCTCTAAATTTACTAAATTAAAACATGTTTATATGCATGAAAACTTTTTTGCCATGTTCTTTTGAATTTTCTTAGTAACCCTCAACCCAGTGAATGTTCAAGTTTAAAAATGGTTAAATTATGGCCGGATTTTTGTCAACGAAACATAAGTTCTTAAAATTAAAATTATGTTAATACTGTAATATGAATGATGTACTAGCATTTTTATTAAATTTAGTTGAATGATATCAACGATTTAATCAAATAGCAATGATACCCTTAAAACGACCATATGGTGGCGGTGGATAGGAATCATCGCCCGCACACTACACAGTCTCGAAATAGGATTGTTGGTACCGTAACTATAAAACATTCTTAAGCTATAATTCAAAAAAAATAACCCTATCGTCCTAAATAAACGACGGATCAACGTACAGGCAAAACAGCTGATGTTAGAGACATAAAACTTGGAAAGTGCGTTTTGTATAAGAATCCGATAAGAATTTTTTAGTTATTTTTTTAATAGTGTTACACGTTACAATGGTTATCAATTAACTACTTATTGTACACTAATTTAGTATTTAGTTGTATAACCATTATTATTGCATTGAGTTTACTATATTTTGGCACCTTTCAACTGGATTTGAGTTTCAAGCAGTCTTTACGGATTCCCATACCTGCAAATTATTTGTAGGATAACAGTAAGACACCGATTTCTTTACATCAGCCCACAAATTTTCAATCGGGTTAATGTCAGGAGACTGTGGAGGCCATTCCATAATATTTACACGGGTTTCTTCAAAAATTCTTTGCAAGCTTGCTAGTTTGCTTCGGATCGTTGTCCTGTTGAAAGGTCCAAATCGGTGGCATTTCCTCACTAGCATATGGGAGCACGACTTCCTGCATGTTTTGGGCGTATCGGGCAGAATTCATGGTCTCCTTGATCCAATAAATAGGCCCAACTCCATATCACCAAAAGCATGCCCAAACCATAACGCTGGATCCACTGTGTTTTTCTGTATCAATGGTATATTTTGGACTAAGTGCGCTGTTGGGTGGACGTCTTACAAACTGCCTTGAACAATTTTTGACTCGTCAGACCATAATATATTACGCCATTTGGTCAAAGTCCAAGTCGAAACGTAATCGTTTGACCACATGTTGTTTATTCAGTAAAGGTGCTTTTCTGGGGCTCCGAGGTGACATATCGTTTTCCAGTAAGCGTCGGCGGAGTGTTTCAACGATGGCTTTTACATTTAGAGATTTTTTTATTTCGATGACACCCGCCAACGGATACTGCTTTGAATATTTTGCAGTAGACTTAACCAATTGAGTGCGCATAACACGTTTCTGTCCGCGTTTTTCGACATCCGGTTTGTATTTTATAGCGTTTCGGACAATCATGGGGAGCAACCAATGATGTTTTGCACTTATCTGTAGGCTTTTCCTTCGCCAATAAGCTTTTCAATAAGAGCCCTTAACTCCGGTGTATGTACAATTCTTTTTCTTGACATCACTACATGCAGCAGGATAAAGATTTCCACATTATAAAACAGAATACTGATAACAGAAATAGTTCTTACCGATTCTTTAGTTTGTTGGTCCCAAAAGCAAAAAGAATTAATTTATTTTGAACTATTCTTGATTGCGCGACTAAGAATTTGACTGATCAAAAACACATTTTTCCTTATAATTCTAGCTTAACAAAGCATTGCATATCGTCATGTCGGCGTCTTAACCTAGCGGTATTTATAGTGAAAGCGAAAAAAAGTCTGAAATACAAATTTATGATGACTTATATTTAATTAGCGAAATCACTACCAAGATTTTGACAGCAACTGTATGTTAATGTTAAACTTTTAAGCTATCAGGAGTAGACTGATAGAAAGCTGCTCCTGAGAATAGGCATTTAATAGTCTGGTGATTTACCACCCGAAGGAAAAGTAAAGTAAATAACGGGGTTCTCAATAAGAGGTTTTATTTTTTAACATTCAAAGAAACTTTCCATAAGATATCGATGATTTCCTTACATTTGTGTGACGCTACGTGCCAGATCAATACCTTCCAATATCGGTCATAAAAAATAAATAATCATATCTTTACCATACATTTTCAGGAAGTAAGATCCAATGACCTCGCCGGACTATTAACCGCGCGAAACAGTTACATATTGAGGATAGAGGTTTTCAAGAATAATTCTTTGTTTTTCCGAGCACAATGAGCGACAGTTTTGTTTATTGATGCAGTAATCGAATTGGAAATGTGCCTCATTAGTCAGGATGATTTTCAATGAAATTCCGGTTCATTTTCATTTCATGGACCCAATCAGCAAAGACACGACGTGGTTGATGATCGGCCGACTTGCGTTCTTGCGTTAATCGAACTTTATAAGCCTTAAGACCCAAGTCGTTTATGGCCCCGTTACAAGAAGCGATGAGGAGTAGAAAAACTTGGTTGTTCTTCAACACTTGTTGTCCATCGAAAAATTATTATTTTTATTGAATCGCCTCTGCTAGGTTTTCACTATTTTTATAGCAGTTTTTAATAATTTCAATGCCTATATTTGTATATTATATAGGTAACATAACGATCTTGCGATATCAGTTTGTGCTCAGCATTAATAGTTTACTGAGCAACATCTGATTTTGGACGACCTTCACGAAATCCGTCCACGATATCGATTGAATTCGCCATACCATTGATAAAAAGATGTCCATGATGGAGCCTCGCCAAATATTGCATAAAGTTCATCGATGCACCATTGGTGAGTTAATTCACAGCGAAAGTTGTAAACAATAGTCGCGCGAAAATGTTGGCGATTTAATACCATTTTTTTTAGCCGAGATGGATATTTTAATATATTTTAGTTTGCACAACACAACAAAATAGCGTATGTCAAAACGTTTTGAGTATGTATGACATCAAAAATTTTAAACTTTATGATAAAGTTTTCAGTTGCAAGATTGCCACATTAGACAATCTCGACAAGATAATTAAAATTATGGGTTGCCAAAGGGGACCTTTTTAATTGAGAGATACTGAGCCGCCTCACACAGCCTATTCTACGCACCTGAGTTGCCAAAGGCTTTCGAGTGATTATACTTTTACCAGAAACCAAGCTCTACTTGAATGCTTTCAACTATACATTTGCTGTGCGGTGAATATTCTTATTGAATGTATAATTTCTGCTAAACCTCATTTGAAGATTAACTGTTATTTTGATCTTTACTTTGACCTTCAATTTTTTATATAAGACTTGTAAAATCTTACCTTCTGATTTATGATCAAGAGAATCCTTGTGAAAATACTGTATTTCTATGCGGCAAGGGACAATATCATCATATATCATATGTAATGCAGAGGCCGAGGATGTTTTTGTTGTTGTAGTAGCGACTACATTAACCCTGCTCCCTACGGTAAAACTGCTTGCACAGCTAAGCATTATCCTCCTTAACTCGTAGCATAAATGCTTCGCTTTGCAAGTGATGCTTCGGCGACATCAGGAGGTTTCCTGTCGTGGTCCTGAGGGCAGTGTTCTGGCAAGCCTGTAACTTCTTCATCTTCGTCGCGCTCGACCCCATCGACCGACGAGATCGATGCAGCATAGTTTACGACCGGCCGGCCGATCGCTTTACAGGTTTGACAGCAAGGTTTCTGTATCGCTACCAGTTGGCTTTTTTAAATTATACAAATGTCCAATGGCCCGCGGAAACAAAGTCAAGAGGTCTGTCAATAGAGATTTGTTTGGGTAAGTGGTCCGATGGTTGTTGTTGTTGTTGTTGTAACCGCAAAATTATTCCCCAAAGTACTTTTTGGGGAATATTGCGGGAGTGACAGTCCTTGGCCGGATAAAAATCCGGGTCGTTCCGGTATAAAGACCCGACTGTCGCGGGAACTATTGGATTTTAGTCGCCTCTTACGACAGGCATGCCTTACCGCGGGTAAATTCTTGAGCCCCTAACCCGCAGGGTAAGTGGTCCGATGGTCGTGGTGGTCGATTGACAGACCGGAGCAGAGGATATATATAGATGGTGTGGGGCCCCGAACTTCTAATTGTATTGCACTCGGAACGTGAATG